CCTCTTACCGACGTTTTGTGGAGAGAGCATACAAGTACCGACCGGTTAAGGTGGTGGAGTTTGAATTACCTCGTCAGCAATGCATTGTTTACCTCGATCTGAAGCGGGAGGAGTGTGCAAATCTCTTTCCTGCTGGTCGAATTTATTCCCAGGCTTTCCATTTGGGCGGGCAGGGGTTTTTCTTATCTGCCCATTGCAACATGGACCAGCAGAGTTCCTTCCATTGCTTTGGACTGTTCTTGGGTATGCAGGAGAAGGGTTCAGTATCTTTTGCAGTTGATTATGAGTTCGCATCAAGGTCAAAGCCTACCGAGGAGTATACCAGCAAGTATAAAGGAAACTACACTTTTACTGGAGGGAAGGCTGTTGGTTACAGGAACCTGTTTGGCGTTCCTTGGACGGCATTTGTGGCCGATGATAGTCCATATTTCATCAATGGAATTCTTCACCTCAGGGCTGAGCTCACAATCAAGCAGTGACTTCTGAGTGATATGCTTGCGAAGAGCCTTGTTTAATACACATAATAGTAGCATTACTAATCTCTAGATGGCAGTTAGAGCAGAATACAATTAATCTGTGCAGGCTTAATACTACATACATGTGAGTGGAGGCAAGTCTCTCCGTGATAACTGAGGTTGTTGAATGATGAGTTCTTCTGGACGATTGGGGTTGTTAAGTGCGTGCCAGATGTTACCTATGTAATTAAATTTCCGAATCTTTGTAATGGTTCTTGTACCCCCACCCAAAAAAAAAAGAAAAACCGAATGGTTCTTCGCTTAGCGTCAATGTTGATCTTGTTAGGGTAAATTAAATGCTTTGATTTTAGGTGAACCTGAATTCGATCTGGGCTCTTGGGTAAGAGTATTAATAATCTAGGGTGAGAGGCTTTTACATGTCGTTTAGGGCTCCTATATTTTTGTTTGTGCCGTATGACATATTAGATAAGAAAAGGGCGACTTTTTGAAACCCTCGCCCTCTCATTACCCCCCTATCCACTGGAGTGCAAGTAAACAGAAAAGATCACGGAGTAGTAAAGATTGGTGACGTATTTTTTGTACCGAGTTCCGAACCCTGGGGTGCAGGAGTAGCTTTGGTCTTGGCAAGGAAAAAGGAGAACTTCTGTGTATAATCAATTTATATGTCAAATGTTATGTTAATGTATCCGATTTTGCTTGACATTGGATCAGGAGATGCTGCGTTGAAAATCATTCCTGACAAGCATGATCATTATTGCCGGCAAAAGTTTTATTCCACCATTCAGTGCTGATTTTCCTCTTCAAGAATCTAGACACAACGAAGAAAAACAAAGCAAAGCTGTTCCAGCATGCGTGAAGCCCCGCATTCTATGGAGCAAAATGATAACTACTCTACCAGCAGCAATATGATTGCACGACCGGATGGAGGAAAATCAATAATACAATTTAGCCTCGCATCAAGTTAATTTTTCTCCTGAAGGGGACCCAGAATAGGCATGACTTTGCACAAAGTCAAAACCAATCAAATCTAGTAGGAGGCAGAAAGACCATAAATAGCCTTGCGTAATGACAAATCCTCAGTAAACCTTAACGGTTCCTCTTCTATGCCAGCTCATCGACTTAAACCATAGGCCTACTACTTTGGGAGTTGAGAGAGAGAACGGAAAGAAGGGACAGATAACTCACTCAATCCGTTTACTCCAAGCCCTTGGGGGAGATGTTTTTCTTGATTTTTTTGGGTCACAAACAAGGGAAAAAAAAGGTACTACTTTTTCCTTGAAGCCGTCCATCCAAACATAGGCTAAATCCTGTACCACAATGCCAAAAAAAAATCGAAAAAGTTCACCAACGCTGGCAAGTAGAGGAAAGAAAAAACTGGATAATCATTCCTAAAATGCAGAATCTATAAGTGCACTGAAGCTTAAGAGATCGTATTGCCAACTCCTCCAAGTCCTGCAATGATAGGCAGCACTTTCAGACTCTACTAGATGGGACTGACCGGCAGGAGTTATTATCTCATCTGGTTGTTTCTCTACCTCTACTTCTCTCTGGTATACAGCTTCAATGAGAGTCTAGGTGAATCTTTGGATGCTATACTTCATGACCATGCTTTTAGTACTTTGTTTCATGGGAGATCTCACACCGGTGCACTATACAATGCCAGTCTTCCACCCAATCTAGCAGGGATGAAGGTTTCTGTAGTCCGTCTTAGAAGCCGAACATTGTGGAGATTGGGTGCTAATTTCAGCAATTTCGCCATCCCATCAAGAACTCTGCCAGTGCCCTATGTGAGGAGACTGCTAATTGTCTATCATGATCTAGGCAATCTGTCGACTTACTACTATAATACATCAGGTTACACCCTACTAACTTCGGTCGTTGGTTTTTTGGTTTATGATGCCTCAAATTTGAGCAGCACAAGCCTCAGGAAGCTCGATCTTAACCCCATGGGGAAGCCTATTTTAATTCAATTTCAGGATCCGGAATCACCTGGTGGCACTAATCCAAGGGCTGAGTGCGCTACCTTTGGTGCCGGTGGGAATGTATTCCTCAGCAAAATGAGCTCGCCGAATCTATGCCAGAGTAGAAGTCAAGGACATTTCTCGCTAGTTACTAGATTCAAGAAGCGGCCACAGGTATGGAAATTTTGGGTGATAGGATTTGTGCTTGGATTTGTGTTCCTGGTCTCGGTGGGATTCATCCTGGGATTAGTTTTAATAGTTTTAACTGTTAAGAGGACTCGAGAAATGGAAAGAGAAGCAGATGAAGGTGAGTTCTTACAGACGTTTTGGGTTGACAGCAGCAAAATGCCTCGCGCATCAATAACCAGAACTCATCCCGTCCTTGAAAACTCAGGTCGTCCGTAGCCTTACTGTCTTCCTCAATTGTTCAAAGCATTCTTACTTTCTATGACTGTATATGCTTGGGTCGTGAATCATCCGTCATTCTTCTCACTTTCTGTCAAGGCTGATCCGTGTGCGCGCGCGCGTATATATATATATAAATATATGCAAACCACTTTCAATTTTGGTAGATAAAAATTTAATCGAGGAAATAAGCAAGGGGAGAAAGATAGAAGGCGGCTGTGAGGTTCTGGATACAAGAGCCTGGGAACGGTAAAACTGAAGAAAACAGACGTAAAATACATATTTGTGAAGCATGAAACTTAACCGAGGGACGTCCTTACAAGCAGCAAATGATCAAATAACTCAATAGCCCTAAAGCTCACGTTTATTAAGCCATAATCTTTGTCCCCTTGGAATCAAGGATTGAGTTTATCGTAACAAGCTATCGTCAGACACTGTCCATTTCTCACCTTTAATTCAATATTGACTATCCCACTGAAATTGGTTAGACGATGTCATGAGCTATCGAAAACCAAAAGAAAGGGGGCAAGGGAAGCTCAATTCAGATGCCATTCAGTAGTCATCAGTACAATGAGAAAGCCCTTCACGCATCAACAATTACAACTAAAATGATCCTGCAGGAAAATAAAAGCTTTTACCACTATTTCCTTGCTTTTTCAAATAAGTTTCTCAGTCCAGTTCTTGGCTTTCAAAAAAAGGGGGGCAGCCAGAGAAGATGCCAAGAGCCTTCAGCATTTCATAGGGTCTACTCTCTCCTAAAGGTTAGAAAGGTAGATTTGCTTCCATGTTTTGTCTTAATTATCCTCTTATACTAGAGTGAGATCAGAAAAAGGGGAGCTACTATTAATGCATCCCAATGTTCCATTGAACAAAATGCCTCTGAATATAGCAGGGAACACACACACACACACACACGCACTCTCTCTCTCTCTCTGTCTCTCACATATATGATACACACAAACCCTGCCCACACAAACACAAACATGCACACAAAAGCAGGATGTAGGTAGCACCTGCATGGGGCCATCTTCGCTCTAATTTTACAGGAAATCTTGTTCAACCAAGGTTTATCAACATCTGAAATCATAGACTTGGGATGGATCCTAATAAACTAGCTTAGGCATCCCACACACTAGAATATACAGCAGTAGGCAAACCTTATTAGAAAATATCAGAACCACTCATGTTTGGCCAAACAATGAAAAGGATAAAAGTTTATTTTAAAAAAAAAAAATGCAAAATCAAGTTTGATATGTTTATTGAACATACACATCAGACTGTTAATACCTACCTAACATCGACAAATGCAGTCCAATGTATAGACAAAATGACTACCAGCAAAAACACGTCTATTATGAGTGGAATATCCCAGACAAGTTTAGGCTGCATCTGGAGTGGTCATATGTTTGGAATGCAGACTCCACCAAATGCCAACTAAAATGCTTGCATTATTTTCGTACTTTTAAGGGGAACTGCAGTATTGATGATCCTAAAATGTGATATAACAGCTAATTAATAGAAAAGTTCTTCTGTAATTGCATTCAGTTTTCGAACCTATAAAGACACGCAGCTAAAGGAATGAAATTTACCTAATCTTCAGCCACAAGGCGAAGATCCAACAAATTAGACCTGGACTACGCAAGATATTAAGGAATGAACTAACTTGATCTTTAGCCAAAAAACCAAGAAGGGATTACCATTACATTTCCAACCAAAGTTAACGCCAGCAGTTTCACTACTTTCTACAAGTATAAGCCTACTTGCACTACTACATGACGAAAAGGAAAGCAAGCCAGCAGAAGCCAAGTATTACCACTGTAAGGCGCAAAAGAAAGTCTTATCCTTTCAACTGCAAGCTAATTATACTACTGCTACTGGTATCATGAATTCCATCATTGATACGGTGCAGAATGTTGTCAAAACTTGTGAAAGATTCCACAATCCAAGCAGAATTGTGAATTGGCACTAGAATGGGGACTCTCAGTAGATCAGTTTTGCTAGATTTTTGTAGTCTGTGTAGAGTTACTTGTTCTTTCTATGTAGTTAGGGATTCCCCTGTGTAATTGTCATTGCTTATCATCAATAAAAATCTTTTGTTGCTCAAAAAAAAAAAAAAAAAAAAAACTTCGAATGTCACTAAGACAATAACAATATCAGATACGAACTTCAGTACTTAAGAGGCAAGGACCTATTATTAACTGCAAAAAAAAGCAATGCAAAGGCTCAACTTCAAACACTTCCCTGCCTAAGCAAGTATATCCTCATTGAGAGATACAACTCAAATTCAAATAGATGCCCCAAAAAAAACCCAACTTATAACAATTGCAATAAGCTAAGTGTACCAAAATGCAACCTCAGCTTCAAATCATGCCTAGCATTACACTGTTGCCCCTCGAGCAAGCTTTGACCACTCAGTATGATATGATCCAGGACGATCAATCCTCTCGTACGTATGCGCCCCGAAATAATCCCTCTGAGCCTGAACAAGGTTTGCAGGAAGCCTTGCACGCCTATAAGTATCAAAATACTGCAAACTAGCGGACATTCCAGGAACACTAATCCCCTTCTGAATAGCAAGCCCCACCACTCTCCTCCAAGCTGCCTGCCTCTGCACCATCTCCCTAGCAAACTCAGGGTCGACCAACAAATTCGCCAAGGCCGGATTCCTCTGATAGGCCTTCTTAATCCTATCCAAGAACACAGCCCTTATTATACACCCTCCTTTCCAAATCCTCGCCAACTCGCCCAAATTCAAATTCCACCCTTTCTCCACACTCTTGGCCCTCAACAAGTTCATCCCTTGCGCATAACTACAAATCTTGGATGCATACAACGCCTGCCTGACATCATCAATCAGCCTCTTCTTATCCACAACTCCTACATTATTAATCTCCTCCTTGAACCCTTGCCCCTTAAAAATCTCCGCGGCAGCCTCCCTTTCATCTTTCAACCCACTCAAATATCTACTATCAAGTGAAGCTGCAATGGTAGGAGCAGCAATCGACAACTCGGCCGCCTGCTGAACCGTCCATTTTCCGGTTCCTTTCATCCCAGTTTTATCCAAAATCTTATCCACCAACTCCCCATGTCCGCTCTCAAAATCCTTCACCTGAAAAATATCAGCAGTTATCTCAATCAAGAAGCTCTCCAGCTCACCCCTATTCCAGTCGGCAAAAATATCAGCCAACTCGGAATTACTGAGTCCACCAGCATTTTTCAATACATCGTAAGCTTCAGAAATCAGCTGCATATCACCATATTCAATCCCATTATGGATCATCTTCACGAAATTCCCCGAACCCCCTTCCCCAATATAAGTAACACAAGGGCCATCTTCCACCTGGGCCGCAACCTTTTCAAGAATATCCTTAATATTCAGGTAGGCTCGGTGGGACCCACCCGGCATGAGCGAAGGACCGTGTCGGGCACCATCTTCCCCGCCGGAGACGCCCATGCCAAGATAAAGAAGCCCTTTTGAAGAAGCATCAGAAATCCTCCGCTCAGTATTCTCGTACCACTCGTTGCCGCCGTCAATAATGGTGTCGCCGGGCTCCATGTACTGGGACAAGCCAGCGATGGTCTGGTCAACGGGGGCGCCGGCTTTGACTAAGATGATGACAGATCTAGGTCTCTGAATGGAGAGTACAAAATCTTTGGGATTGTACTGGCCGAAGAGAGGAAGGTGGCCTTCTCGATCGGCTCGATCTACTGTCTCGTCGACCTTGGAAGTGGTTCGATTGTAGACGGAGATTGGGAAGCCTTTTTCGGCAATGTTTAGAGCTAAGTTCTGCCCCATAACGGCTAGCCCAGCTAGGCCTATACGCGAGAGGGCATCAGCCGTTGCCATGATTGAAACTTGAAACCAGATAAATTTGGTGGGGAGTTTGTGCTAAAGATTACGAGAGTTTGGGAAATGGAGATTGGCCGAAGGACGAAGAGCAAAAGGGGTAGGTGGGTGGAATAATATATATTATAGTAGCATGGGGAGAAATGGGGGTCGCGAGGGGGGCTGCTCCTGCTACTGCTACAGATGGGGTGGTTGGTGGACTGGACGGACTCGTCGAGGAAGTGAAGAGGTAGCGACTGGAACAACCAACGAATGGGCGTCCAGTTGGACGATGATTACTAGTCTGGTAAACGGCGTCGTTTTGATTTTGGTTATAATTAATTTAGCTGCCAAAGTGGAAAATAGCTGGTGGTAAAATGGTTTATATATATATATATTATATACCCGGATATAGCAGGGCCCAAGCATGGCTTTTCGTGTCAAGTCTGCAAACGGTACATGCACGGTGGGAGAATACAACTTTTCCACGTTTTCGTTTTCCACGTGTCAAGTCTTTAAAGTTTGGTTTGACAAAAACATTTAGTTCCCAATATTTTTTTGTATGTGCCATTTTAGTCCTTCAAGAGTCAGTCAAAGCAATTCTAATTCCCAATCGGTTTCAAAGCAAAATGTTTTTAAGGGAAAACAATCGGTTTGTTTGGATATGAAATTATTCGAAATAATATTTTACTTGTATCATAAATATATTTTTTAATTTTTTTTTTATATTTTTAATTATATTTTTATCTCACGTACATCATAAATATCATAAAAAATGCTACAGTAATTATTCTAAATAACATTTCAAATAATAATCTATCCAAAATATATTAGAAATCTTCCATAATATTTTTCCTAATATAATTTTACACATTTAAAACTTTTAAAATATCACTTGCCTCTTCTCTTCTCGTATCAATAGCACCCTGTGGATATTTTGGCTCTCTACTTTGGCGGAAAGCAAAGGGTACGTAGCTCTTTATCTACTTTTCCCGTTTCTGTTTCGGAAAAATACAACTGTTGGCTCGACAAATCGTTTTCAAGAAAAAGTGATAAGTAATTATCACTTTAAAAAAAAAAAGAAAAAAGAAAAAAGAAAAAAGAAAAAGTGATAAGTATCATCGAGTTTATGCAACCGCCGGACCAGTTACTCGTCAGTTTCTTCCTACTGGTTTAGCGTGCTCAGAGCGTAACCAGTATTCTTTCACAAGCTGACCAAAAAGCGAATTTTCTTCGGTTATCAGCTTCATGGGCTCATCATACTCCACCACATTTCCTGAAAGTTGTTTTGAAAGCTTCAATTTTGCTCTAAAAAGGATTAATATATGTTGGATAAGTTTTTGAGACTCACCATCCCTTAATGCAAGAACCATTGTGCAATCCATCACTGTTGGGATCCTGTGAGCCACAGTAATCACAGTGCAGTCTGAGAATTCGCTTCGTATCGTCTTCTGGATGAGGGAATCTGTTGCATTATCAATTGATGCCGTGGCTTCGTCAAGAACTAGTATCTTCCTTCTCTTCAGCAATGCTCGTCCCAAACAGAATAGTTGTCGTTGTCCCATGCTCCAATTTGATCCATCTTGTGTAACTGAAGTCATGGAAAATTCCTTAAATCATCTGATTCTTCCGCATTAAACATACACTACATTAATTTACAAGTCTTACCAAATGAATCTAAGCCCCCTTCTTTCTTCTCAACAACATCTCCAAGCTGGCATTTTCTGAGAACCTGCATATTGTTCAATGCCTTTCATGTTAGCTTGTAAGACCAATAAATACTGCATGAGTGGTCTACTGTCTAACTGACTTCAGTGCAAGCCCTCACTTAATGTACGAAAAAAAGACTTGCTTGTCAATTTAATAATCTAATCCAAGAGTGAACCTGAAAAGGACAAACATTTGGTACCAGAAAAGGACAATTAACCCCAAACTAGATTTCTGCTATTCTGCTTGTGTGCAGCAGTCATTTTCCGTTCAAAGCAATAGGATGACAACAGTATTCCTGTCCCAATTTATTCTTGTTTTGTCATTTTTAATTTTATGCTGATTAAAAGTGCTAGCTCTGGAGAATCCTACTTGATTTTTACTTGGAATGTCAAAAATCATTCTCGTTGCTATATAGCAATCTGACCTCCCAAATTTCTTGATCGTTATGTTCTGATAAGGGATCCAGATTGTATCTGACCGACCCACCAAACAAAGTTGGATCTTGAGGAATGATCGCCAAATGTGACCTAAGATCATGAACCCCAAAGGTTGAAATGTCCTGGTCATCTATGAGAATTGCTCCATCTGCAGGCTCTACCAGGCGAAATAAGGCACTGATGAGTGTTGATTTCCCGCTGCCTGTCCTGCCAACTATTCCAACTTTGTGCCCTCCTTCAAACGTACAGGTGATGCCTTTCAGAACCAGTGGAGCATTCGGCCCATACCTTACCTGAAGTTTTGTTGAAAACAGTTATTTAACTAGTGAAACAATAATATATTTGGAGACTTAATACTCAGTTATCTCATTTTGAACTTTACCTTCAGATCTTGTATGTCCACCTTACCAATATAAGGCCAATTGGGAGGTGGTCTATTGCTTTCTATTACTTCTGGAGCTTCACTGGGGATGTGCATGTATTGTTCCAGCCTTTCTACTGAGACAATTGAATTTTCTAGCATGCATTGGGTTTGGACGGAACTGGCAAGGTATAAATTGAGTGAAAGAGCATATGATAGAGCCATGCCAATATATCCTGCATTTATAACATCAAGAAGTAAGTACACAGTAAAAGAAGATTACTGCGTCAATGTTATACATTGAGCTACCAGGGAGGATTACAGAAGAAGGGTTGAAAAGACTGTGCAGAAATTCTGAGAATGAAAGGAGTGGTTCATCTGGTCCTTTGCACATTTAATTGAAGGTTTGGAAAATATAAATTATGATTATACAAGTGCAGGAATATTGAAAGGCTAGTAATAAGTAGGATCTGGTGTTAGTTTTCTATTATGCCTAACATACCTTTCTCCCTAATTATTAGATTTATTGTATTGTTATAATAGTGAAAAATTGTAAATTTACTTCAATTTGAATTATGATGATAATAAATACAAAATAAAACACTCTAATCTAATTTGTCTATTTGCATCCCATTATTCAGAGGAGTCTTGTATTCATGATTTTGACATGACTATTTGAAAAACGAATTAAATCAGATTTAGGAAATATGGTGAAGGGATACTGGTGGTGAAAAAAAAGCATAACAAGTGTCCTGAAATAAGGGATAATTTCAGAACCCTCCTCCGAGGTTTTTGACAATTTCACTAGCCTTCTCTTAGATTTGCAAAATTATACTTACCTTCCCTGGCAAAATTATACATTACACGAGAAGAGATCACTCATATACCCTGAGACATTATGTCTTATTAGAAACTAATATTTGATGATTAAATAATTATAGCACTAATTAACTGTTAGTAATGAATTAACAAAAATAATTATTGAAAATTCTTTAATGATGCATAGTAACTTATAATTACAAAATAACGCCAATTAATATATCAAATGATCCCGTTTTGTGATTGATATAACTTAACAATAACCAAAAATTAGTTATATACAATATGAGGAAAAGGGCTAAAAAGCACGGGCCAAAAAAAGCTGTTCACAAGAAAATTTTCTCTGCAACTCGTAAAACTGCAATAGTTGTAGAGTAATTTCGTGAAAGTGAAGGAGAAGAAAAATAAAAATTCAAAATTTTTCTATTCAAAATCACAAGAATCATAGCAAGCTGCATGTTAAGAGACATGATTGGTCTGTTTTGCTGAATCTTGTGATCATTAGTATAGTTACTTATTTATGTTGTCTAATGCGTTGAATATGAACTTTTTAAAGTAGTAGAATTTGTATGCTAATTGTTTTCAACTTTTAATTATTTTTATTTTTTTTACTAATACAACTTATATACATACATATAAGGGATATTTATGGAATAAAAGTTTCATCTCTCTTCTTAATGTACTTTTTAATGATACTTTTTTTTTCTGATTTGGATTGTTTTGTTTCCAAAACCTTAATCTAGGAGAAGTTAGTATAATTTTACAAACTACAGAAGAGGCCAGTGAAATTATCAAAAAACCTTAGCGGAGGTTTCTAAAATTATCACCTGAAATAATAAAAATAGAATGAGCAAATACATTGACTCCAATGCCCCGCTACATTTTATATTATAGTTTAAACCTTTACTTTAATTCTACATATTGACACTAATTTTCCTCTAGATTTTAAAATTATAGTTTAAGCCTTTACTTTATAAGTATTTCTAAGTTCTATTTGCTGCTCCCATACTTGAGATATATATATATATATTTTTATCTAAGAATACTATTTTGTGTATAAAAATTTTAATATTATGGTTTAAGTATGATAAGATTATAAAGTATATGATAACTTTAGTAAAACATCTCAAAAGCTTAAAATAGATTTTTAAAAAATAATTTCCCAAAATGTTAGATCCATAATTGCAAATAATATTTTCAAATAAATCTTAACAAATAAATGATATCTCCGGCGTCTTCTAGTTTAAAATAACATTTTTGAGAATAATTGATTCAAAAGATGAAAAATATGAAAATATTAAATTATGATGTTACCAATAGAATTTCACAAAAATATTTATATATATAAGTGATATTATATTTTGAATTAACTTTTTATACACTGATAGTGTAGTGATTTTTTTACACTGACAATTATGAATGTATGCCATGTATACATGATTTGAATCTCAAATTTAAATTAATATTATATGACATGATCTAAACCTGTCAGTTATATACCGACAGTGTTTAAAAAAATTATTCCTATTTTATGATCCTATAATCAAGTGCAAAACATGTGACTTATTACTACTCATAATATAAGACACGTGACTTATTACTAGTCATAATATAAGACTGTGCGTCAGTGTGTGTGTCAATACGTGTGTGTGTCTGTGTGTGCAAGTTTCTGACCAGATTCAGAAGCTCCAAGGGGCAATGAAGTCAAGGCAAGCGCTGAGGAGGACAGAATGATGGCACACAGCAATTCCAGTCGTTGCATCAGCCACTCATTTGCAGAAAAGCTATGAAAGAAGGAACTTTGATTTCTGTCAATAAGCTTCAGACTATCCAAGAAGAAACGATCTTCCTCTCCGAAAGCTCTAATAGTCATAGCTCCAACTATCGATTCTGAGAGATAGCTAGCAACTGAAGATTTGGTTGTGCCATGTATCCTGATTAACTCTTTTACAGAAGAATAGTAGTATATCTGTGTTGAACAGAAGAACAAAGTATTATATTCTTATTGTACAAGACTGGGAGAGTATATTGTGCTGGTAGTATTTACTAATTACAGTGCATCATTTTGGTGTATACTGTTTGATTTATTACATGATCATCTGGATTGGGTATTTTGGAAGTAATTTTTGGCCATAGCCTTATGATATTTTAATACGAATGTTGCATCATCCAAGTTGCAGAAAGGACTTCAAGTCTCAGTTTTTAAACTAAACTTACTATCCTAGTCAAGTGCTAGCGCCAGAACTGACTATCCTTCTGATCCTTTTGTTAAGACTGTGAGGTAACTAGTTATAATATGAAGTAGTTCATGATAGGCATTAGAATCATTGAAAACAGTTAACAGCTTCTGGAAAGATTTGGTGAGAGTGCTTTCACCATCTGAGACGGAAAGTTCTTGCATAGGGATAAACAAAATTACGAGGGTTGACCTTTTACCTGTATGAGTATGGTTACACACACTGTAGGAATGATGACAAACAAGATTGGCCAGGTAAGAAATGCCAGTATGCCTAAGCTGAAATATGTGGTCATTGTCGAAGCAAAAGCCATACTGAATCTCGGTGACAGATCAAGGTCCACAACACTGAGATCAGAAGATACCTGCAGGGAAGACCTTGCAATGAGGGTAGATATTTTAAAAATTGTTGTTAATGTACTTCCTCTGTAATGCTTACCCTACTGAGTATTCTTCCCAGTGGTGTTGAATCATAAAAAGACATTGGTGCACGAAAATGGGAGTCCATGAGCTTGGAATAAATTGTTGTTGATGCCCTAAGACCTAAAAGGACAATTACACAAGACCTTAATAGCAAGGACAGTGCCATGCCACACCCTATAAACGAGTATATGGATAATAGTTTCAACTCGCTAAGACTAGAATCTTGTATATTAGTAGCTAACCAAAGGTTTTGAATTAACTGGCCAATTATATACACAAGGTGGGATAAAACGCCCAAGGACAGGTAAAAGAAACCATTGCTTTGACTTAGGTATTGTATGTATGGCTTAAGACCATTATATCCAATTTCTCGTTCTTCTTCTTTGATCAACTGCTCCCACAGAGGTGCTGCTAGTTGCTCCCCAGAATGGATCTGCTGGATAACATCTTGAGAAGTTTTCTGTCTTTTCTGAGAACTATGTCCTGCACTCATAGCAGCTTCGCTGTGCGCATGAACAAGATTGCGAAATTCTTGACTGGAATCCAGCAACTTGCTATAGGTAGCTTCTTTTAGGATTTTTCCTTTAGACATCAACTGGCAACATTAAATAGAGAGATGACATATGAATAAGTTGACTAATATATGCAGTTTTTTATATGGTGGTGTTGTCTGTCATATTGAGATCCATCTCATTTCTTATATACTTCTTGCAGAATTGAGAAGAAGCAAAACCAAGTGGCGATGAAGAAAATTAAAAATGATAGAGCATTACTGACCAATATAGAGTCAAATACTGGAAGGAAATCAACTTGATGAGTCACTAGTAGCACTGTCTTCTTGAACAAAGCTCCTATGACATATTCCTGGCATAATGAACATTTACTTTTTTTGAGAAAATATTCAAACAGGAGCTTAAATGTCAGTGACAGAAGAAATAAAAACTGTAACTTCACATTGAATAAAGTGCTCGCTGTATGTGCATCAACAGCGCTGAATGGATCATCCAACAGATATATGTCTGCTTCTTGATACAGTGCACGAGCAAGCTGAACACGTTGCTTCTGCCCACCACTGAGATTGACGCCTCGCTCTCCTATAACTGTTTTGTCACCAAAAGGAAGCATGTCGAGGTCTTTAAGTAAACAAGACTGTTTAAGTACATCTTGGTATTTATGTTGATCCATGGTGGATCCAAAGAGAATATTTTGTTGGATAGTCCCGGTTTGAATCCATGCAACCTGAGAGACATATGCAACTTTTCCATGCACTTCGACCTGAAAATGAAAGGATGCTACTATCTTTTAGATATTTTTCAAGTATCTACCATTTATTCAGTGCAAAACACATATATACTTGCAATAGTTTTGTTGAAATTCTTCTGTTATATTTTCATCTAAATACTCTCTAGAAATTCTTCAAAATGCTTGAGTTCATGCCAATTAAGGCCACTTAGTCAGGACAAATGTTAACAATAAGAGAAATTTCAGATGAACCTAAAGAAGGAAAGAGTGAATTTCTACTTACCCTGCCATCAATACATGGAACTTCTCCAAGAATTGCAGCCAAGAGAGTTGATTTACCTGAACCGACTTCTCCACATATAGCTACCTTTTGACCTGGTTTAACCAAAAGATTGATATATACTAGGGATGGATTTAAAGAATCAATGTCCCATGAAATTCTCTTAGCATTAATGAGTATGGAATGCTCAATTTCAAATCCCTGTGGACAGTGATGAATAGGGCTGCTCTGCAACTCAGGTGCTACAAGAAATTTTGCAATCCGAGAAAATGAAACCTTTGCTTCAATGAAAACTCCGAGAACATCTGGAATTGACCTTATGGGCTCCTGAACTATGCGAATGGTGGCAAGAAAGGTGAAAGCACTACTGGTAGTCAGAGGAATATTGAGCAAGTAGCAAGACCAGAAAGTAACTGCAGATACTATGATTGGAGTTGACCAAAATAGCAGCATATAATATCCTTTCTGTGCCTGAACTTTTACTAAGCATTTCCATTCTTCTTTCCTTAGCAAGCCAATTATATCCTTGAAGTGTGTTTCCCAAGCATAAAATTTTAGAACTTTCATATGTGCAAGTGCTTCTGTTATAGCCTTCAGCATTCTGTCTTGTGCAACCATAAGCTGATGCAGATACTTGTGCTGCAATTTAGCCACCGGGGAATTCCCCAGCATGCTTAATACAATTACCACTAAAGCCGGAAAGGTAGCTTGTCCTATAGCATAGAACATGATAACCAATGCCATACCTATCTGAAGGCCTGTTGTCCATATCTGATGGAAGTAATATGGGAGTTCCCCAATTTTGTGGGCATCCACAGTGACGTAATTCATAATCTCGCCTGAGGAATGAATATGTTTAGCAGCATTTGAAAGACGGAATTGCTTCTTGAAGATTGCTGCAGTTAGCGAAGACTGTACTTGAAGGCCAATCAACCTAGTCCAAAAGAACCACTGTCTCTCTGCTAGTGATTCTAAGCATTTTGCCAGAAAAAGGCCTGCAGTCAGTGCATAACCTTCATACTTGAAAACTTCTTTGCCTTCAGAAAGATCAATGAAAGCATACAGAAAAACAGGGCCACTGGACAAGGTTACTATCTTGACCAGCGCGAAAAGCCCAGAAATCACAATAGCTTTCCTTTGGCAGTAGACTAGTGACCTCAGAATAGAAGACTGATCACAAATTTTGTTTCTTTCATGTTTATTCAGTTGATCCTTAAACAATGAGTAACATGTTTCGGCCCTATCCTGTGGCCTTAATAGAGGAACGTCCTCATCCTCAAGAGTCTTCTCTTTACCCTTCTTCAGTAACGGATCTAACCAGGAAAACGACATTTTATGTAGAATTCCGGCTTCGGCAAATTGAGTTATCCTGAAACCAGCTTCTTCTCCTCTCGGAGGTTCATAGTAAGCTTCAACGCTTGTATCTTTGCCAATTTCTGAATGCTTTTTCACGTGAACAGCACAGAAGAGAAGCAGAAGCGCTCCAGGAAACCGTAACACGTCTAGCACCCCTTTGAGAGATACCAGTTTATCGACTATTAATTGCATTAGGGACAGAATGCAGAGGAATCCAGCTAGAAAAGCAGTAAAAAAGCAAAGTTTCACCACTGAAATAAAAGGAGCACGATATTGGCTCTTCTTGCTCAGCACGAATACAGAGAGCAACAGCCATGTGAAGCCCTGGAATAGAAGTACAAGCCAAGAATGAAGAGGTGAAAGACTTTGATTACTGCTCAACTTCTTGCCAATCATCCACGTCCCCAAACCGATGTAAATACAAGCTATGCCTGCATTGACAAAAAGGCAAGAAAATGACAGGAGAGAAATGAACTGTCGCCCTTGCAACCCTGAATCAGCTACAACCCTCCTGGATGAATTCCCCCGAAAGAAGGCGAATATAAGAATGAATGAGAGGAAGATATTAGCAGAAATGACCAAAATATGATTGGCACACGAAGATGGATCCGTGATTGCCATAATTCCAGAGCTACAACCACTTTCAAAATTGTTTTTTTGGCATTCATTTTTTCCACAGAGAACTATCCAGAAATCCATTTTGCACCTGGGCCTGTTGCTGCAATCAACCCACTAAATTTCAAACAGAACTTGCTCCATGCTCAAGAAGACAGGTAAGCATAACAGAAAGCTTGAATGCATAATATTTTAAGCTAGAAAACAAGATGTTGAGTAGCAGATATTATACTTGTTCACCAAGAAAAGACGTCGTCTAAAAATGAAGAGTATAGCACTAGTACTCAACTTCAACTTCATGCAAATCTATTGCTTCTTCAGCTACCAGTCTAGGTCCTAGTTAGTGTTTGTTATCTGTCGTAGTCATGGATTCCCTATAAAGAATTATTCTCAAGCCAATGATTATCACAGGGAATCCATAGTCCAATGAGATTTGCTCGGTAAGGAATCGGACCCAAGAAGAAAACGCAATGGTGGGCTCACTCCCCTATGCATATGCCTCCGGCTATCTTCTTCCACCCCCAGTTCATTTTCTCATCAAAATTCCTCCATGGAACTTAGGTGGGCGCACCACAAGATCAAATTTTGATGTAGATTCTTTTAAAAACTTTTAAGGATTACGTGGATGATGGCATTCCAAGTCACTTCGGCCTGGCTAAGGCTAACTGTTGATTGATTTTGAACTTGATGTTACTGGTATTCGGACATGGGACGTCAAAATTTCAACTAATACGTGAATGAATAAGACCCATGTCGTAGGCTGAACTGATAATACATGCTTCGCGAAAATTGATTTACACATGTTACCATCACCTGGTTTTTTGTTACTTTTCCTTCTTTAGCCTTTACATGGTTAACTTTTCAGCAAGGAAAAGGAAAAGAAAAGAGCTAGATGGCTAACGATAACCCGTAAGGATAAAGCTTCCATCAAAATGGCTAGTTGTTATCTCGCATGGCTTCAACCCCCTTGGCTATTCCAGTAATGAAAAACGGAAGAATAAGGAAGGATTCATGTTTTTCATGGTCCCCATATTTTTGTTTGTTTGTTTGTTTGTTTCCATACGATCTCCAATCTCAAGTAGCTGCCGGCTGGTCGTTCTTCTTTCATAATAATGCCACGAATACTACTATTCTACTACTCTGCAATGTCGTCCAGAGACCCCTTGCTATTTATTACTACATGTTAACAGGATGCAACTTGTTTTAGTAGATATTTTACGTTCCTGAAGAGGAGCCAGATATTATGAAGAGAATATTCGTAAGCAAAGCTAGAGGATGATATTAAAAAGGGGAAATAGTTCTTACAGCGCTGAAACAGAGAGAGATATCAGAACACTGACCGCATACACCACACTAAAGACATGCCAAACAGACCGATACATCGGCCAGAAGTGGGAAACTTCGTGCCAAAATATAAAGTGAGGGGGCCCTGTTGCCTCCGCCACTGTAGCTGGAGAATATTCGTTCGCATCAATAATGCGGGATGCACTTGGAAAAACTTGACAAATTTTGGCCGGTTTTGTTCTGTTTTTGGATGCTGAATTCAGTTATGATTCATCCAGTTGACAGGAAATTGGTTCAACATCACTTTATTAGTTGCAATTCTCCGCATCTCTCTTAAGTGGAAGTGCTTTGTTATGATTCTTGGGTGCAAAATGAAAAAACTCTGAGCCTGATTAGAAAAATGCATCCATTAACAGGGGAACGTACACAAGCTAGAAGAAGCACACATTCATCACTCCTTGAAAAGTTTATCAAGGAGATTAGTAGGTTCACTTGCTCATCCGGTTTTTATTGTTCCCATATATCCCCTAGTACACTTGACATGCTTTCAAAATGACTAATTCGATGCGAGTTCTCCTATTGAGTTTGGTTTCTTCTTCAACAGAAAATGAACAAAAGAATTGGTTTCGGGGAAACTGGTAATAAGCCTTTAGCTCCTCGTCAAAAATACCACCAATCCCCCAAAATTCTATGGTTTAACCAAAATTGTCATCTACTCAAGAAAAGTGCGGGGGCTAGCAAACCAGACTCCAAATCACAAGCTGCAGATGATACTTCTGCACGAAAACTCGTTAGCTCTCAATTCGAACAGCTCCATTTTCTGACGAAATGAATTTAGGCTTTATGTTGACTTGCTCCAGGCACTGAATAACGTCTCCAACCCGGAAATCAATGCAGTCCTGGATTACTAGTCCACACTCGTTTCCTTTCCCAACTGCATCAACGTCATGCTTCTCCCGTTTCAGAGACGTACAAGAACCTTCAAAAACAACTTCACCACTTCTAAGAATCCTCATTGTTGATAACTTGGTGAAGCGACCATCAGTGACTCGACAACCAGCAATCTTGACATCTGCTCCCTTGGCTTTGCTCCTTCCTTTAAGTTCAAATATGTTCAGCACCTGCGCCTCTCCAGCAACCTGGGTCTCAAATGTCCCAGGGGCCTTCTCAACAATTAAATTACCAATGTCCTCCAGAAGATGATAGATGACTCGGTGCAGTTTTATCTGCAATACCATTTTAAACATTTGATCAGATATCTACAATTTCCTCAGAAATTACCATTTTCCTGTCATTTTCTTTTCGAGTTGGACATCCAAAAGAAAAGAACAAAGAAAACTGCAACAATAATCAATGGTACGGTGGTAATGTACAAAAAATGTACAAGCAAGCATTCATATAGAAATCAAGGTGATAATTAGAGGCACAAAGACTGATAAGGATAGGACTATAGCAGTTTGACAACAAAATACCTTTACACCTGCTTGAGTTGCTGCCAAACTGATGGAACTAGGTGGATTCCGCACATTAAATCCAACAATACATGCACTGCAGGCTTCTGCCATATCAATGTCAGACTGAGATATAGGCCCAACCCCCACATGGACGACAAAGACAGGAAGCTGGTAGCAGATTATGAAAGAAAGTATTAGATTTCAATCACCCTGAAAGAAGAATATCCTAAAAGAATCAGATATCCAGGCAATAAGAAGTTCATATGAACATTTATACATATGGGTCATGTAGGTCTGTATGTAATATAAACATCATTACAAATTTCTTTTAGCATAGAAAATTAGCAAGGATGTCTAAAGTAAACTATTCAACCACATAGACAACAAACAGTACAATTATTAGGTCATATTTCATTGAATAACTCAGCATACCTGGGGACTATTTAGACCCTTCAGCGCATCTACAACTGCCTCCACAGTGCCTTGAACATCTGCTTTAACTACAATTGGCAATTCTGGCCGTTTGGGCTTATTTTCTTTCTCTTGTAACTTTCTTCTCTCTTTTCTTCTTCTCTTTCCTCCTCCTCTTTGATCTCCTAGTTCAGGTGCTTCCAATTCTTCTTCTTCCTCTTCTTCTCCTTCTATTTCCTCCTCTTTTTCTTTTTCTCGTTTCTCCTTTTCTAGCTTCCTTAATCTATCCCTCTCTCGTTTCTTTTTCCTCCCTTCACTAAGCATTCGTGCTCTTTCCTCCGAGTGCACGACAATAATGTCATCACCAGCCATTGGAAGTCCCTTTAACCCCTCAATCTCAATGGGCATTGCAGGTCTAGCAAAATTTGTCATTTTCCCTGCTGTATCTCTGATGGCCCTTATCCTTCCCCACTCGGCACCTACAACAACAAACTGACCAGAAACTAAGGTTCCCGCCTTTACTATAGCAGTAGCTAAAGGACCACGTCCCCTGTCAAGCCTTGCCTCAACTACATAAGCTTGAGCTGGTCCATCATTACGAGCTTTAAGATCCATCAACTCAGCCTGGAGAAGCAAAGCCTCCTCCAACTTATCCAGTCCAATCTTGTTTATGGCTGAAACTTCAACAACCTGGACATCACCACCCATCTCTTCCAACAGCAGCCCCTCTGCTGCGAGCTGGAGTCTCACTCTTTCTGGGTTAGCTGTTGGTTTATCACATTTATTAATTGCAGCCACCATTGGAACACCAGCTTCTTTTGCATGCGACATTGCTTCCAGAGTTTGAGGCATCACGCCATCATCAGCAGCCACCACCAGCACAACTATATCTGTGATGGCCGCACCTCTAGCTCGCATGGCACTGAATGCAGCATGACCAGGAGTATCAAGGAATGTAATTGACGCCCCTGATTGCATCCCAACAACAAAGGCACCTAAATGCTGTGTTATGCCCCCAGCTTCCTTAGCTGCCACAGAAGTTTGACGTAGAGCATCCAAAAGAGATGTTTTACCATGGTCAACATGACCCATCACTGTCACAACTGGAGACCGTGGTAGTACATTAGTGCCCTCATCAGAGTGAAGCCTCCTTACATTGACCCCAACTTCCTAAAAGATACAAATAACCATTTATTCAACTGCTCATGGGAGCTATGAACAACCTATTTAGTTTGCAAAAGAGAAGAGAAAAAGGCAATTCTACATTTGCCATTCCATCACATAGATTTGGTACTTTAAAATGACCAATATCCCAAAATAGTCATCCCAAAAGAGAAAAAGGCATTTCTGCATTTGCAATTCCATCACATAGATTTGGTACTCTAAAATGACCAGTATCCCAAAATAAAGGTGATTGGGGGTATCTTGTGTGTCACAGTGTTCTCAAACCAGTAACTGAAACACCTTAACGAAATTACTAGATTTTACCATTTTGGTTCATGTCAAAGCAGAATATGATGACAACAAAATAAAAACAGCTCCAAAATAATTACCATTGCAACCAATTCTGCAATATCAATGCCAAGAGGGTCAAATTCTGAATCAACTTTCTCTCCAACATTTACAAGAATACTCTGCATGGTAGGTATGGATTCTCCACATCGCTTGGCAAGCTCTAAAATGGTCATGCCCTCAAATATTTCAATTGTTTTATCTGGCAAGGATCTGGCAACCCTTTTTATTTTAGGAGGCACGTAAGGAGCTTCAACTGGCGGTGAACTGCTCTTTGGTCTGTTCTTGAACTTTCCTTTCCGCTGCGTCTTTAGTCCCCATGGTGTGTCATCATCTCTTCTCACCAGTAATTGAGGACTAGCATGAAAAAGCCTGAGGACGTATGCATATAAAATTCATTTTCAACAGTGAAAACCATAAGATAATGGCAGACACCCTGAATCACCAAAATATGATAAGCCAAAAAGAATTCAGCTAAGCAAGTCACCTCACTGACAAATCATTAAAAGCATTGCAATCAGACAGGATATTGTTTTCAAATGAAGAAAGAAGATTAATTTTTTTAATTGTACAAAAGTTATATTCACATGTAGCTGATGATGTCCTTGCTGAGGACTCAATCATGTCCAATCATGTAGCGAACCAATGCCCAAATTATAGGCTCAAAATAAGAAAATAGAAAGCAAAGCTCATTAGGATGTAGTCATAATGTGCAGGTGTTTAAGAATTTTCTTTTAACTTTTCCTTGTTTCAAGAGAAAACTCAAAACCTGCTAAATTGCTAAGTTTTTTATGATATCATTATTTTGGCATATGCTGTCTACTATCCACAACGAAGAATGTTTTAACTCTTTAATGAGAAGTTATTTACGAAAGACTAATCTACTTCATGGCATGTAAAAGTTAAAGAGCAATTGGAAGTCCATG